AAATGGCGTGTCGTCTATTTCCGGTGTAGCAAACGTAGTACATAGGGCGACATCTAGATGTCATCTACCTCGCCCTATTCACTATGCTTTTTTATAGGAGCTTTTCAAAGCTTTGCTTTATGGTGTCGGACACACAACATTGAAAGTTTCTGGAACACAACATTGCAAGTTGATAAAAGCGTTGTAATAAAATGACATTAATGTTACCAATAACGACTTTTTTTGGAAAGATTTTAGCAGTTGCCCCATAAACTAGAGAATTACATATTAAATAAACGAAAAAAGTTTGCTATTAGTTTTGGGGTGTAAGAAAATCGAAAGAATATAGAATAGCACATTTGTGCCATTTTGTCAGCTTTCACATGACTGGAACTGGAACTGTGTAACATTGATGACAGCGCAACTAGCACATATGAGCTCTGCATAGTTAAGAGACAGTTGTGAAATTTGTAGGGCGGAAATTTTTCTGCAGGGAAGTTCAATCAGCGATCGCTGTTTAGCTCAAATACGTTTATGTGTGTATGTATGTGGTACAGCGCAGTCCCGTCCAGTGTTGCCGTTGTGCGACTAAAGGGGCAATTTGACCCTTTTTATGCGCCAATACCCTTTGATTCGACTTTTTGAAAATTTTGATTTTTCGACCCTTTTCCAAAATTATGTGCGACTTTTGCCCCCTTTCAGAGATTGCTTAGGAAATGTTAACAAAACCATGCTATTAGAAAATATTTCCTCCTGTAAGTACGAAAAAATGCATCACTTAAATCTTCTAAAGGAAATGCAATTCTCCTTCCAGCAACTAGATTTATGGGTATATTTGCAACCCTGTTTTGTGTAAAGCTTGGCCCGCTATTTTCTTTTTAAATTCAACATATGTATTCTTCTACTAGTAAAGAAAGGCAAAGATAATATGGTGACCCTTTTTATCGTCAATGACCCCTTTTTTGCGACTTTCTGCAAATTCTCAACGGCAACACTGGTCACGTCGCTCATACACATCTCGTTTGGATTTGTGAGCTCGTGGTTGATCGGCACTGATGTACAGAATTTTCGCGTAGCTATTAGAGCTGTTAAACTATCGATAGTCATCCCAATCGATGTTTTCGATAGTTTGCATTGAAACTATCGATAATATCGGATAATTTTAAAATGCATTGACGAAGCTATTTATATAAACTTATTAGTTTTATTTAGATCCTGAAGAATTGTTATATAGCGATTTTCAGTCACTTTGTCCTTTCCCTTCGATTTTTTAAATATTTTAAAGTGATAATATAAAAACCTAAAATTCCCAATCGTAGAAAAACAAATCGCTTGCAGACGTAAAGAAAGTTGTATGTATTACAAAAAACTTTCATCAGTCCAACTCCGGCTACGCCACAGTATTTTATTATTATTATTATTATTATTATTACAACGCTTTTATCAACTTGTAATGTTGTATGTCCAGACAACCGTACTATAAATATAGCAAAGGTATTTATGGCAAACCTAGTCTAGATATCGAGGTTGATAGTTATCGTAGTTATCATATCAAAGACATACAATTAGAAAAACTCTAGAGATAGATGTCGCCTCGCCAGAAGAAGTTAAAAATATGCACTAGATACGCTACAGCGGAAATGGACACGCCATTTCTTTAAATGAAATTAATTCCTGCTATATGTATGTATGTACATATGTAGGCCTATACTAAATGGGAGCAAACAACATTTTGCTTGCATAGTCTTCTGTTCTCTTTTCACTGCAAGTTGAATTATTTTAGTATCTATTGCAAAATTTTATACAGACAAGACTAAAAAGTATAAAATAATTGAAAAAAAACTTTTTAATGTACCACGCTTTTATAATGGACCAAAATTAGAAAATAATATTTCTCAGTCCCATAGAACTTGTTTTCATAACTTTTGATTTTGAAATTTTAGCAAAAGTCATTATAAACAATTTATGAGACTGAAAATGAAAAGCGTGGGGCGCATGTAATAGGCCTGATTTGAAATTGAAGAGTTAAATATGTATGTATGTGGGTATATTAATAACGACCGCTTAAAATCGATCTCAAATTTGTACTTTCGCTGTAGAAATTTTAGGTCTATGTTATGTGTGTAGTTTGAATATTGTCAATTAAATCTAATGCTTTGTATTGCATGCGCTCCACGTTTTTTACAACGCTTTTATCAACTTGAAATGTTGTATGTCCAGACCGCTTTGAATGTTGTATGTCCAGACCACCATTTATACCAGCTGCATTTTTTTAAGCGAGCCACTAAAGAACGCTCAACTCGGGTAAAATTTCCTTTTAGCTACTTAAGCAACCCNACAACGCTTTTATCAACTTGAAATGTTGTATGTCCAGACCGCTTTGAATGTTGTATGTCCAGACCACCATTTATACCAGCTGCATTTTTTTAAGCGAGCCACTAAAGAACGCTCAACTCGGGTAAAATTTCCTTTTAGCTACTTAAGCAACCCTGTTGGTAGCTGGCAAGAAAATGTGATTAGTTTAACTGGATTTGGATACAAAAACCAATTTAAATGAGTAATTATGCGAGGTATTTGCGTAATATATATAGTCTTTTAAAATATAAGTCACTTATAAAGGGAAGCAAAAATTTCCCTCTCAACTTTCCCATTAACAATTCACAATAGAGCAGTTTCTTCACTTACCAACTCTAGCATTCAGGTCGCGTACTTTTTAACCGACCTGGCTGAGCTCGGATAAATAGCCGAGTTTGTGTTGTTGCTTTGCGTGTATTTCGTCATTTAAGCGAGTGTTCTTTTGTAGCTCGATTGCAATACAACAACAAGGCGGCCACAACAGCAGCGACCGCCTAACAGCAACTTAAAGGCGACCTACCGCCTAACAACAACAACAGCAGCAGCAACGTTGTGGTTGTTAGACGGTGTTGCCGCCTTTAAGTTGGCCGCCTTGATGTGGTTGTTAGGCGGTGTTGTCGCCTTTAGTTTCGCCGCTTGTTGTGGTTGTTAGGCGGTGTTGTCGCCTTTAAGTTGGCCGCCTTGTTGCTGTTGGGCGATGTTGTCGTTGGTTCTTGTTCGCGCTGATAATTCTGCTGGTTGTTCCTCGGCGAGATCTGTCCGTCTCGGTAGTGGTAGAGCTCCGTAGCTGGGCCCTCGTGGGTACTAGCCACACAGTAGTTTCTTTTTTTGTTGTTGTTTTACTTTTTTGTTCTATCCCTTTTTTTTCACTGCACCGTCTACTGGGTTAGTTTTTCTTTGGTATTTTTCAACCTTTTCTTTTCACTGAACACTATTTTTCATTATTTTTTTAAAATTTTCCTTGGGGAAAATATCTGCACATTTAGTCCGCTTTTTCTTCTTTGTTTCTTTACTCAACCGTTCCGAGTTTATTCTATCGAAATACTATCGCCAATGGTCGACTGTGGGGTTGCCAGCAGGTTTTTATACCCTTGCACTGCGGGAATATTCCACTTGGAAGAGTAACGGGCACTGCGTCATTTGGACTAGTCCCGTTACTCTTCCAACTGGAATTTTCCGCAGTGCAAGAGGGAATGTCAAAAAAGAGATCCGGGGTTGCCGGGACTCCTCTGAAAATATTTTTACCGGACTTAACCGCAAAAAAAAAATCTTTGAAAATTGCTAGTTTACAAGTTTGACAATTTCGTGGTGAATACGAACGTCAGAATTTTACCTTGCTCATGTGCTAGTTAAAATTTGACAGCTTCTAAGTGTAATCAGCCTTATCATGAGTTTCATTTTTTTTTCTAACCGGTTCACTTTTCAACTTTTGGTTTCCATGTATTTACTATGGGCGGATGAACAATTTTCGGGCGAATATCAGGATAAGGCAGAATATTGTGGGCGGTAATAAAGAATGAAAATCAAAATGGAAGCTGATAAAAACCACAGAAAACGTACGTTACTTGCAAGTTAAAAAACAGATGTAGATTTGACAATTTCAGTAACACACAAAAGTAGAGCTTCGCAAGAGCGTGTGTTTGGGTTGTGGCACAGTCCGTATGTGAAATTTTGGATAATGTTGCCGCCAGAAAGTATTGGGTGCAAGGGAAAACGTAGCTGTCAAACTAGTAATTTATCGCAATAGATGCCTGGATATTAGCCTTGATATGTATTACTCTCTATATTCCAACATTTGTGTCAAGATACAAACTCCATCCTGTGAGAACGGGCAGTTACAGACAATTGTCACAGACTATCACTAGCCTCCGCCGGAAAGGTTCTATTACCCAAAAAAAGTAACCAAACAAACGTGCGGGAACTAGTGACAATCAGCGACAACTATCCACAAGGAAACACAGTTATCGTCAAAATGGCAGACCTTCCATGCAATTTTAGCGTTGCCGTACGCTCTAAAAAAATTATTAGATGGTGAAATTTCTGGCACGCCACCGGGTGCGCTATACGCCGAAGAATAAAGTATTTGTATTTTGTGCGGCGAACAGTAACCCATAACAAATATCACTACCACTACATGGTTAGTGGTAGTGCATTTCAATTTTACTACCACGGTTAGTGATAGTGGATTTCAAATTTCACTAGCACTATATGGTTAAAAAGTTAGCGATTTGTGCAAATCTCTTAGTTAGCCATTTCGATAGTTCCTTATACCAGATCAAAGGACTTAAGGCATCCTTTCGTTATTGAATACAATACTTCTAGTGAAAGTGTCAGAAAATAAAACCCATTTTCTTTTTAAAAAATTGTCACTATTCTTCCATATGAACATTAGGGTGCCCATCGAAAATGATTTTTTTATTTAATTTCAAGACGCTATCCCCTAATTATACCTTTCATGAGCATGAAATGGTATTATAATTTTGGTCCGATGTTTGTAAGTACCAGAATAAGAAGAGATAGACCCATTAAAATGTATACTTAAATGATCAGAACGTCGAGCTGAGTCGATTTAGCCGTGTCCGTCTGTCTGTCTGTCTGTCTGTCCGTGTGTTTGTATGCAATCTGGTCTCTCAGTTTTCGAGATATCCGGATGAAATTTGGCAGGTGGATGTATTTTTATAATATATTAATCATTTGTCGGAACCGGACGAATCGGACCGATATAACATATAACTCCCATACAACTGATTGTTCAGATATGAGATATTTCATTATAACTTCTTCAGTTATGCACCTAGGAACATGGAATTTTGCAATACTTCCACCCAATATCAACAGAAAACTTAAAGTGAAAATTACGAAGATCGGGTCACTAAAACCTATAGCTCGCATACAATTGATTGTTCAGATATAAGATTTTTCTTTATAACGCCTCCATATAAGTAGCTAGGAACATGAAATTTGGCACTGTTGTCACTCATTACCAGAAGAATGCTTTCAGTGAAAATGACGAAGATGGGGTCGCTATAACCTATAGCCTTCATATAACTTATTGTTCAGATATGAGATTTTTTGCGATAACTTCTCCATTTATGCTGCTAGGAACATGAAAATTCGGGTCTCTATAACATATATCTACAATACAACTGATCGTTCAGTTATGGGAATTTTCGTTATAACTCCTCCGTTTATGCAGCTGGGAACATAACATTTCGCAATATTTCCACCCGTTATCAAAAAAATACTAAAAATATAAATAGATCGGGTCGCTATAATCTAAAGCCTCCATACAACTGATTGTTCAGATTCGAGATTCTTTGTTATAACTTCTCCACATATGCAGCTAGAAACATGAAATTTCGCAATATTTTCACTAATTACCAACAGAAAGTTTACGGTAAAATTAACAAAAAGCGGGTCACTGTAGCCTATTTATATCCTCCATACAACTGATTGTTCAGATATGGGGTTTTACTGTAAAACTCCTTTATTTGGACTGCTAAAACAGATAAATTTCGTAAGCTATTCTATAAATAATAATACAAAGTCTACTGAGAAAATCGTCAAAATCTATGCTGTATAAACTTTATCTCTTAAATTAAAATTTATTACGACTCCTTTATGTAGGTGTCTAAACCCATTAAATTGTGCTACCGGTTTACATACCGATCACACAGCAGTGAAAATCACTTATATTGGTGCTATATAAGGTATATCTTCCATACCTCTGATTTTGTAGATATGGTTTTTCATAAATATTTGTATCTCCTCTATCTATGTATTCTGTAAATATATAAATTTTTTCAAATGTAGTAATCTGTTAAAGTAAAATTTTCAGATGTTCATGAAAGGTATGAAGCCTTCGTAATCTGTTAAAGTAAAATTTTCAGATGTTAATGAAAGGTATGAAGCCTTCGGGATAGCCGAAGACAGCGCTGCTCTTACTTGTTTTATTTGTTTTTATGTGAAATATTATTGCCTATTTTTATAAACTTTTAAAAGGTCATTGAGAGGTAGCGGCGGTAGGTCAGAAAACACGATTTTGTAGTTTATTTTTTTTTATATATTGGCATATTATGATAAATTTCTATAATTTATGACTATTCCAAAACTGGATGAATTGAGTAGTCCACTTGCAAACAGCGTTATGTGATTTTATAATAGAAAGCCATAAATTTGAAAAAACGACTACGACAACAAGTAACATTTAAATTGAATCTTTTTTATTATTACCTGAAAATTTGGACAAATAAGAGCCTTATAAAATTGTAACATAACATAACATGACATAAGATAACATTAGCAGTCTATACGACCTAAAGCAGTTTTTTCTAAGTTCATCAGAAGATGTATAGTTTTGAAAGTTTATAAATAAGTGTGATAGCGACTTTTGGAAGAAGAGGTAACATTTGATGCTATTTTTTTCATAATATAAAACGATTTTGCACTGTGTTGTTAGTGGACATGAAACTGCTATAAATACTGGTACGTAAGCCTCCAAAAACTAAAAATCGAAAAAAATTGTACATATCGCACTTTGCAAGTGGACTACTCATTTGTGCCAAAAGTCCAAAATTGCACTACTGTGCCTACTTTTCCATTACTGATCGAAATCCAAATTTTTTTAAACAAAAAAACGTTTACAGATATGACCAATAAAATTTTTCTCTTTTCTGGGGCGCGGAACCCCTCACTTTTCCATAATGATATACCTACAGTTTGATCAATAGGACAGATATATCCAAGTATCATTAATCCGCACCAAAAAGTTGGGGATATATGACGAATAAAAATTTTCTCTCTGCTAGGGGTGTGTGCTTTATCTGTAAAAGTAATAATATTAATAATGTTTTTCCCAGGGATCACATTAACCTGTTGTAGAAATTTCATAAAAAAATCGGTTTAGTACCTTAGACGCCTATAAGACACACAGACACGTACATATATGTATATACATTCATTTTTATTTATAAGATGTCTAATATCCTTACAACAGTTTTGTTAAAAAATGTATAACCATCAACCATATAGTGGTAGTGAAATTTGCAATGCATTACCGTTATATGGTTAGTGGTTACGGTTGCCAGACGTACTGATTTTATCAGTACAGTACTGATTTTTCAACTCTTGTACTGATTTTATTCATTTCTTCAATCAGTACGCTAATGTCCTGATTTTCCAAAATTTTTACTGATTTGTACTGAATTTTCGATTCAAACAAAATACGTTAGGATTTTCTTAAGGTTTTTACATAACGCTGGAACTACCTTAAACTGTACTGTAAAAAGTAAAAAGAAAATAATTTAATTTGAGTTGACATGTTTCAAATAATGTTTGATATGCCCAAGAAATTAATACAACAAAAAGATCAATCGTTTTATTGGCATATCGACGGGTCGTTACGTACCAGTTGCGATTATATGATGCAGCTTAAATTTTGTAAAAATAAGGCTGAGGTTTTTTTGTAGAGTGCTGTTAGTTATCTCGAAACTAACTTTCATTTTAATAACAACAAATTTGAATATTCGAATGGCTTTTGCCTATGACTTACAATTCTTTTTTCACAATTTACTAAATGGACGACACGCCATTTCTTTAAATGAAATTAACTGCTGGTATATGTACATATGTATGTTTATACAAAACGTAAGCAAACAACATTTCGCTTGCATAGTCTTCTGTTCTCTTTCATTGCAAGTTGAATTATTTTAATATATTTTGCAAAATTTTGTACATAAAATAAAATAACACTTTTTAATATACAACGCTTTTATAAATGGACTAAAAATTAGAAAATAATATTTCTTAGCCCCATAGAATTTGTATAGATAACTTTTGATTTTGAAATTTTAGCAGAAATCATTATAAACCATTTATGAGATTGAAAATGAAAAGCGTGGGGCGCATGTAATATAACTACCTGAATTAATATGAAGGGTAATATATGTATGTATGAATGAGGATATATGAATAACGACCGCTTAAAATCGATCTCAAATTTGTACTTTCTCTGTAGAAATTTTAGCTCTATGTTATGTAGTTTGACTATTGTCAATTACATCTAATGCTTTGTATTGCATGCGCTTCACGTTTTTCGTTTTCAATCTCATAAATGGTTTATAATGACTTTTGCTAAAATTTCAATTTCAACAACGGGCCCTTAGCTTAGATGAAAATGCTTCAGTTTAAGATAGACTTTACATATAAAGAACTTTTCTATTTAAAGCAACAAAATAAAATCTTTATAAAGAGCTGTTTTCATTATAAAGGTTTGCTCAAACAGCAGCGGTATGGTACCGCGCGGTATAACTCCATTTGTCATATTTGCTCATGTATGGATATACATACATATATACGTTTGTATATAGTTAACTTACATACATACCCAGTAGAAATTCTATGCATACAACATCGCTGTTGGTGGCATGAGCTTGCTGCTGTGTATACATGTGTGTGTATAAGTTCCCTGCAAAAAGTGGAACTAGGTTAAACACTAGTGCAGGACCACGCTACATTGTAACCAACACTAGTAACCAAAATGGTCCAAACATATGGAGAAAATATGGTTACATTAACATTGCGATGTCATTGGACCTGACCACCTCTGGCCAACGCTGCATAACATGGGACTACTTCTGGTCCACCGCTGCATAACATGGGACCACCTAGACAACTACTCCTTTTGGACCATGGACTGAATTTCATAAGATTTTGTATAAACCGAATATTTGATAATTTTTCAAGGTGCTTTTTAAATTTAAATAGCAAAATCTATTATTTAAAATTAATTTTCTTAAAAAATTCGCCGTTCCGATGGGCCACGAAGAGGTGGTGTTCAATACATATGTCAGTTTTTTACGTTTGAAGTGGTCCAGGTCAGCATAACAAGTTACTAGTATGCAACCTGGTCATTTTGCACATACTTTAAAACTACGTCCCAGTGGACCACCTTGTCCTAAAATTTTTGCAGGGGTTTAAAATAATTTGCAAGAATCTCCACATACACAACAAACATGCAACGTAAATGTATACTATGCACTTAGCTTGATATTTTAACATCTTCCCAGCTCCCTATGTTTATCTTCATCTAAAGCAAAGATCACAAGATTTGTACATTTTAACAGTTACAGAGTGGTGTTGTTGGGAAAGCCGTTATTGAGCTAAACTCATTATTTCTAGACAACACCACTCTGTGACTGCCAAAATGTACAAATCTGTACAAATGTACAAATCGTGCGATCCCTGCTTAACAGCTTCTTTACAGCGTGTTCACTACTGCTAGTGATAGCATAGCGTAATTTGCCGGCGCAACTATGTAGGATAGTTTTAGGGAGTGGTATGATAGATTCTATTGTGAATTCCTTGGTAAGATAAAATACCCGAAATTAGTTTGAATAAATCAGCTGCTAACCTTGGGATACTTCTATACGAATTTCTGTAGAGCACCTACCGGGTGTGTGGATTGTACTTGATCTGAATACTTAAATTAAATAACACACCGATTTGTTTCTGATTATGCTCCTAATTCGTGTTACATTGGGCGCGTTCATATTGTCTAACCGTAGACTGTTTGTCCTAGAAACGCACAGTTGAGTAGTTCCGCTCAGTTCAACAGTTGCCAACTTTCCGCAATTTTCCATCGTAAAATTTTTTCGCTACCTGAACTCAACGTGTTTTGCTCAGCCTAAACGGATGATCGAAAAGATTTACGCCGCTTATATTATATGTACTACGCTCATAAATGGAGAGTCAGCCCTTAATAAAAATATTATGTCCTGGTTATATAAAATACAACTAAATATAATGGCCCGTAGTTATAGTCAAAATAAAGTCGACTCTAAAGTTAAAAGCAGCTTTTTGACATAACTTTCAATGGGATATCTGTCAAAAAACCTGCTTTTAACTTTAGAGTCGATTTTATTTTGACTATAACTACGGGTCATTATATGTACTACGCTCATAAATGGAGAGTCAGCCCTTAATAAAAATATTATGTCATGGTTATATAAAATAACACTAAAGAGTTCCAAATAAAATAATATAAAAAAAATCTTTTTTAAAAACAAGCTTTTATTTAACATGTACAATCAAAGGAATAAGATAAAGTAGTGTAACAAAACATTTTTTAGCATGAACATTTTTTCAAAACTGCACTAAAATTAATAAAACAAAATAAGTTAAGGTCTCGTTAAAGTTATTAAAAGCCATTTAGTGAAAGGAGTTACTCAAACTCTAATGAAAACAAGTAAGAAAGTCTAAGTTCGGGCGGAGCCGAACATTAAATACCCGGCGCAAGTATTAAATATATGTTTTCCACCTTTCCGAAAGCTACCGCTACATGATAAGCCGGGGTGTATACATTTTAAGTAAATTAGCGTCCTTAAATTTCGAAATATTGAAATTTCAAGCATATCTGAAATTTACCGTTATATGAAAAGCGGCCTCAATTTTAGTCCGATTTCAACAATTTTCAACGGTTTGCTTTTATGTGGCAAGCACAATAACCATACCGAGCTTGGTACAAATTGCTAGAACGGTTAGCGAGATACATATATGTGATCACAAGTGGGCGGTGCTACGCCCATTTTCCAAAATT